TCTCAAACCCCTGTTCGACCTTCTGAAGGGAGACCCAGATATAGCCTCCCACAGGAGGCTCACTCCTGAGGCAAGAGCTGCCTTACAGAGAGTGGAAAAAGCCTTAGGTGGGGCTACCTTACACAGAATTGAACCAGGGCGACCCTTTGATGTCTGTTTGCTACAGACTAGTCTACAGCCTACAGCGGTGATTTGGCAGAAAGGACCACTACTGTGGATACACCCTAAGGTCTCACCTGCAAAAGTCATAGAGCATTACCCGGAGGCAGTCGCTTCATTGGCCCTTGAAGCGCATGATAGAGCTGTCCAACATTTTGGCTCAGGACCACAAGCCATCCGAGTACCCTATACCGCCAGCCAGATCAAGACCCTGGCTGCCTGCATAGATACCTGGGCCATTCTGAGATGTGTTTTCCATGGGGATATAAACAATCAATACCCTAAAGACCCTATCTTGTCATTTGTCACTCAGCACCCTATAATTTTTCCAAAGGTTACTGCCTCTGAGCCATTAGTCCTAGCAACTACAATATACACAGATGGCTCCAAGACGGGGATAGGCGCCTATGTGATCCTAGGCAAGCCCCCGGTTACCATACAATTTAAACCAGATCAGCCTCAGGTGGTAGAACTGCAGATCGTTAAAATGATTCTTGAACGGTTCTCAGAAGCCATTAACATTGTCTCCGATTCTAGGTATGTGGTCAATGCTATGCAAGTGCTTGAGACTGCCAGTTTAATTAGATCCACTTCCACAGTGGCTGGACTGTTCCTGTCTATCCAGACATTGCTTCAGAACAGACACCATAAGGTCTTCACCACCCACATAAGAGCACATACATCCCTGCCGGGGCCCATGGCACAGGGGAATGCGGCTGCTGACACTGCCACTCGCCCGTTATGGATTTTTACCTTACTAACACCAATCGAGCGAGCCCGTGCCTTCCATGATAAATTTCATGTTAATGCCAGGACACTAGCAAACCATTTCCATGTTTCCAGAGCAGATGCACGAGATATCGTGCGACTATGTGACTCCTGTGCCACATACAAACCTGCCATACCGATGGGAGTAAACCCTCGAGGTTTGATCCCTGGTGATGTTTGGCAGATGGACATCACACATATACAGGAGTTTGGGACTCTTAAATATGTTCATGTTTCCACAGACACCTGTTCTCACGTCATATTCGCAACAGCAGAAACAGGTGAAAAAGTGTCTAATGTGATCAATCATTGCCTGGCGGCTTGGGCCGCATGGGGCAAACCAAAAATATTAAAAACTGATAATGGACCAGCCTATATAGGCAAAGCCTTCAATGAGTTCTGCAAAATGATGGAGGTTCAATTAAAACATGGTATCCCATATAATCCCCAAGGTCAAGGAATCATTGAGAGGGCTCATAGAAGCCTCAAAGAAATTTTACAAAAACAAAAAGGGGGAGTAGGCCAAGGCCTGGCCCCAAAGGCACGATTATCCATGGCACTATTCACACACAATTTTTTAAATTTAAATAATGATAATTGCTCCCCAGCCGTGGAGCACTGCAACCCTTCCCCCAACCATAAAGGGTGGGTGAAGTGGAAAGATGTCCTGACAGGACAATGGATGGGCCCGGATCCAGTGGTCAGCTGGAACCGAGGCGCGGCTTGTGTTTTCCCACAGGAATCGGGACGAGAACCACTGTGGGTACCGGAGAGACTGACACGGGCGACAAAGCCCTCGACTGAAGATCAGACCTGCCCTACCGGAGATCCATCACAGACCAACCAACAAGATGAATAGAAATAGCGGTAGCCCGAAATGGACAAGAAGATCCTCAGGCATATGCATGGCTTGCTCAATTGGCCCACGACCGAGTCTAGATATGGCGGGCATCCCTCATTCTCCTCCATAAGGTGACAATACACAGCAGGGTAGGTGAGTCAATGACGGGTAAGAGCGTGCCTCCCCAGCACGACTCGACCTAAGCCAGGCCCTACCCCATCCTGCACGTAAGCCGCTGGACTGTTAGATGCTGCCCAGGTCTAAATTTCTCTCCGAGGGGATTTCTTTACGGAGAGGAAATGAGTGCAAGCTTGTGTGCATCCAGGTTCCGTCCAGTTTGTGCCTGGCCCTAGAAAAAGGACGAGGGCCTCAGGGCCTTGGCAGACCATGGGACGGCCGACCAGGGTCTAAGCCAAGGACCTACGGTGGGCCTACGCATAGGGCATAAGCCTCTGCACCCAGTCCAGAAAGGGCTACGATGCGCACATTCATAAAAAATAAAATAGGGGGAGATGTTGGGAGCCGCGTCTGTGATAGCTCGCCTTGCGCAGCGGACGTGCGGCCTGTGGTAAAGAGCAAAGCCTGAGGTAGATTACCCCTCCCATCGAATATGTTAGTTTCCTGCTTACCGCGTAAACAACCCGCTCAACAATATAGTCTGCCTGGCAACTGATGATGTTAGCCAATCAGCTTGCCTTGCTTACTTTAACATGATTGGACACTGTACCCGTATATATACCGGTGCCACCCCTGGGCGGAAGAAGAAGCCAGGTAGAAGCCCGGAAGTAGAAGCCCAGAAGGAGCCGCGGAGAGCGGACCGGTAGAGGCTTCGGAGCGAAGCCCGGAAGGAGCCGCGGGGAGCGGACCGGTAGAGGCTTTGGGGCAGACTGAAGCACAAAAGGAGCCGCGGGGAGCGGACCAGAGGAGGCTTCGGCTGGGAGCGATCCCAGGGCAGGCTGTACGGAGAAGGAAAATAAAAAGAAAAGGTTGTCCACTACCAGACTTTGTCGTGTGTCCTTCCTGCCGGCCGGGAGCGGACATCGACAACACCCCACTTTCCGCAGCCTCACCTTGGGAAACGCCGCCTTCTCCTGCCTCTCCGTGATGGGCTGACCAGGGCGGCACAGAGGGGCTGGCTGCCACTTGCATCCCCAACGTCACCAGGCTGAGGCTGCCGCCTCAGTCCTCTCCCCGGGAGCCCGGCCAGCCAGGCAGCGGCGGGGGAGCTGCCCAGGTCCTGCCGGGGCCCACATGGGGCCGCCACCACCAAGGTGCCGGGCTCAGAGCCATGAAGTCCACCTGGCTGGCAGAGGCCCAGCCGGGGCCTGGTCACTGGATGAGGCTGGGCCTCAGAGGCCCGGTGACAGGTGACTGGGAGCAGCCGGGCCACGGGGTCCACCCCTGCTGCACCACACACCGGACGGACACTTTGCCCTGCGTTTGTGCCACCAGCACGGCCCTGGCCAGGGCCCCAGAGGAAGCAGGGTGGTGACCCCAAACGGTAGGGCCCCAGGGGAGATGTGAGAGCTGCTCCTCGGTACAGAAACAAGCAGGAGGCCGCCTGGCTGTCCCGCTGCCACGACACACAGGTCTCCCCACCAAAGCAGCAGTCAGCAAGGCCTCATCGACCCTGCAAACCCATGTAGCACGGGCCACCAAAACGTTCGTAAGCAGCACAATCAAGCGATGCCAATGTTAGAGGAGGCTCTAATCAGGCACATGGCGGGCACAGGCACAGCTGTGCCATCCCATCTGCCAGGCAGCCCCAGCTGGCAGCCGGGCTCAGGAGAGAGAGGAGGGGGCTTCAAACCCCAGGCTGGGGACAGGCGTCCAGGCCACCGGCGTGCAGGACGGCCCTAAGGACATCAGAACAGATGTGGGTCACCATGTTCCTGAGGGCCTGCTCTCCACAGCCCACAGCCTGGGGGGACACCGGGGCGGGAGGCAGCCTGGGCTGGAGGCAGCACCGCGGGAAGCCCCCTCCTGCAGGGCTGGGACAGGGCCAGGCTCATCGCCCACCGCGGTCTCCCAGCAGCAGCTGGGGTGTGCTCAGGGTCCCCAGCGCTCTTCCTGCACCACTACAGAAGGTGCAGGTAGGGGGAAGGCTGGGCGTCGGCGCCAGGCACAGCAACATGCAGGCGGGTGAGAGCGGTGGGTGGCCAGGGCCCTGCCCGAGAGCCCACACGCCCATCAGGTCACTGTCCCCAAGGACTCGCACTTGGCCCCAGGTCCCTGACGCGACACAGGGGAGGCAAGGTCACGCAGGGGTCCTGACACACGCTGGCGGTGGCACGTTTCTCTCCGGCTTTGCATTTTGGGTCCTTCAAGGAGAAGACTTAGTTTTTCTCCCAAGATGCAAGCAAGACCAGGGCTCGGCAGAGAGCCCAGGCTCGGCCAGCAGCGTGAGCGGGGAGCGCTGCGGAAGGGCAGGAGCGCCACCTGGTGGCCCTCGGCAGCAGGGCAGTCACAGCAGGCAGCGCGGCGTCTGCCCCACAGCACAAGCTCGGCCGGGCACGCGGCCTCCTGTGGGCCGTGCCCTGGGTGCTGGCACCCAGCCGCGACCACCACCTCGCCCCACAGCGACACTCGGGGCCCCAGGGCTGCCATGGCCACTCTCCCCGCGCTGGGCAGGTCTGCTCCTGCCTCCAGGGAGCAGGGGAGCGGAAGGGCAGCGGGAGCCGTTGTGGACTCCAGGCCCCCCAGCCAGGCCTCCCCACGAAGGACTGGCCAGGGCCACCGCCCTGGAGACACCCCCCCACACACATGGCGCTTTTGGGCCCCCAAATGCAGACCAGACCCGCTGAAGGGACCGGGAACAACAACAGGACTCCAAGAAACAACGTCCTGGCTCAGCCCGGGCCTGCAGCCGGACAGCAAGAACCAAAGCCATCATGTCCCCATCGACCTCCCAGGACCTGTGCAAATGTCACCTCCGTGGCAGGACTCTGCAGCTGGCTAAGTGACAGCCCGAGGGGTCATCTGCCCACTGGGCCGGGTGTCCCCGGACGCCCTGGGAGGGTGAGAGGCTGTGAGGGCAGCGGGTTCCCCGCCGTGTGGGGGACAGCCCAGCCCCGGGGCCTGACCCACCAGCTCTGCTGTGACCCGCCCTGCCCGCATGCGACAGCCACTGTGGGCATGTGCAGGGGCACAGTCCTGCCCAGGGAGGCTGCTGCGCGGCCGCTGGCCAGGCCAGAGGGACATGCGCCAGGCCGCCCGTGGGGCCGCCACTCACCAGGACTTGGGCTCCCCGAAGTGCAGGTAGTTGATGCTGTAGAGGTCCATGTCCTCCGTGTGCCAGGCAAACGTGGTCTTCCACATGCCAAAGTACAGGTAGGGCGTGTTCACGCCCTCGATGATGGTGCCGCACTCCCGCTCCACCATGTCCAGGATGGTCCGCAGGCTGCCGATGTTCCACTGCGACACGTCCTGCGGGCGGGGCCACGGGTCAGCTCGGCCGCCCGGGCGAGCACGGGAGGTCCGGCCATCACCCCGAGTTCCGGGTCTGCACCGGGCATCCGAGGGCCGGGACCCGTGTGCCAGCCCGAGCCTGCCTGCGGCAGAGCACGAAGCCACCAGGGCTGGTCCTCGGGGTCCACAATCACCACAAAGCTTGCGCTGGGTCCCGGGCCACTCACGAGGGGGGAAACCAGTCCCCGCGAGTAGGACCCAGCCAAGGTCAGAAAGGGACGTCAGAAAGAGGCCACCCCCAGCTACAGCTAGGACCACCCTGCTGGGTCCACCCCTCCGCCCGCAGCAGGGGCAGAGGATGTCGTGGGCACAGAGGGCACCTGAGCTGGGGCTGACCCAGGGCGCTGATCTACCACATGAGGAAGGCAAGGCGTCTCTCTGGGCTGCACAGCACGAGAAGCCACAGGGAGCCCGGACAGCAGACGCCGGCCGGGGAGCTGGGAGGCGGCACAGGGCCCAGGGTGCTTCACACCGCACAGGCTGCCGTGGCTGGAGGTCTCCAGGGCCGGGGCTCTGGGTTTCACGTTTTATTTGCAAACAGTAAGGGCCCTCAGGGACGCGGTGACGAGGCCCGGGCTGGGAAGATGGCCCACAGCAGGACATCTGATAAAGGACCTGGACACCAGGGCCCTCACTCGAAGTCATGAGCGCGGCCCGCCTGAACACGGACTAGACACAAAAGCAGCCAGGCCGGGGCGCATGCCTGTCACCCCGGCACTGGACAGGCTGAGCAGGGAGACTGCGGCAGCCCCAGGGCCAGCGGGCTCCTTGGTGAGGCGAGGGCAGCCCAGACTCCAGCGCAGGCCCTGCCTCAAAAGCAACTAACCAACAACACAGGAGTGCCAAAGGGCCCGGGGCAGGGAACTGGCCAGACAGCAGGAGGCAGGGCAGGCCACCTCAGAGCCGCCTGGACGCCCCCGGGTGCCGGTCAGGAGCCCGGGCAGCTAGCGGTGCAGGGCGGCCTGAAGTCCTGCTCAGGGCTGGCGCGGTGCACGGCCACCCAGGTGCTTGGTGCCCCCCTGCAGGACAGGCACCTGCAGGCCCAGGGCTGGGAGGGAGGCCCAGGGCGGCTGCGGCAGGAGCTGAGAAAGGCACCGTGGTGTCCGACGGAGGGGCCACGCGGCTGTGCAGGCCGTGACGTTTTTTATTTTTTGTCTTTTTTGAGACAATTTCACTGTGTAGTTTAGGCTGGCCTTGAGCTCGAAGGGATCCTCCTGGCTCAGCCTCCCAAACACCGGGCCAGGTTTACATTTATTTTTATTGATTTATTTTTTGTACCAGGGACCGAACTCACGACCTCATGCTTGCCAGGCAGGTGCTTGTGCTGCTGAGCTGTACACCGGTCCTAGGTCTGTTTTTTTGAAGAAAAGAAGCCCACAGTGATGTGGGAGCCCACCTGGCATCAAAGCCTCTCAGTGGGGAACGAAGTCTTTTCAACCAGTGGTGCCAAACAACTGCTGTCCCCACGCAGAAGAGCAGATGTGGGCGCCACCTTACACAACGTGAAATGTTAACCTGCCACCCAGCACTCGGCACTCAGGAGGCTGAGGCCAGAGGATTCCAAGTTCAAGCCCAGCCCAGGCAATCTAGTGAGACCTTGTCTGCAAATAAAAACCAAAAGTAGGCTGTGGGTGGAGCTCAATGCCAAGGCCCTGTGGTCAGTTCCCAATATCAGGAAGAGGGGGGGAGGGGAAGGGAGGGGAGGGGAAGGGAGGGGAGGGGAGAGGGGAGGGAGAGGGAGAGGGAGAGGGGAGGGGAGGGGAGGGGAGGGAGAGGGAGAGGGAGAGGGGAGGGGAGGGAGAGGGAGGGGAGGGGAGGGGAGAGGAGGAGGAGGAAACAGACTCGGTGCTTACAGCCAGAAGCAAGATGGCAACATGCTCAGAAGGAAGCAGGAGCAGCTCTCCATGGCTTTGATTGGTTTGGTCTTTTACTTTTTAACGGTTCAGGCTGGCCTTGATTTTGCAGCGCCCTCCCGCCCTCCCGCCTCAGCTGGATTACCAGCCTGCACACTGTGCCCAGCCACACCACGACTTTGAGTTGTGGGTGGATACTTAGTGGTGACATGGAAAGTACAGCAATGAAAGGAAACAAGCGAAAGTCGGACTCCATCAGGGCAAATGGCAGCGGGCGCGGCGGCCCAGCCTGTAACGCAGCACCCAGAGGCTGAGGCAGGAGGGTCACGGCAGGCTCCAGACCAGAGGTCAAGGCCAGTCTGAACACATGGAAAGACTATCTCAAAACAACAGACAGGAAAAAAATCAAAATAGGGGAGGGGGTCACCGTCAAGAAAATAGCAAGACGACCGGCGGGATGGAGACTGGGAGAAACCATTCCAAGGTCCAGCAGGGGACCCGCCGAGAGCCCCTGACCTCACACCGACAGCCCCGCCTGCACCCGACCTAACGGGGCCTCTCGGGAGGGCACGGGGACACCAGCGCTGTCACCACCCGAGCAGGGGCCGCTCGTGCCCCCTGGGATGGACGGACGCACAGGGAGAGGGCACAGACGGGACGACACACACAGGACCTGCGGGCCTCTCGCCACTGTGGACGGGGTGTGACGACGGGGCAGCGCGGGAGCCCCACGGCCAGCACTGGGAGGCCGGCCCGGCCCCCTCGGCCTCTGACCCCACCGGGCGCCCTCCACCGCCAGGCCCGACTCACGTCGTCGTACAGGGAGCCGCTGATGTCGGCCCCGTAGATGGGGGACACGAAGGTGAGGTTCTTCCAGTACTTGCGCTCCAGGTCGTCGAAGTCCTGGTGCCGCGGGGTGCAGTACCTGGGGACAGACCCACGCGGCTCGGGACGGAGGAGGTGCCTGGGGAGGCCGAGCCGCTGGCGCCCCTGGCGGCCACCCGGGGCCGGAGTCCCAGCAGCGGTGGGCAGCGAAGGGAACGAGGAAACTCGGGGGACGGGGCCAGCACCCTGTTTTAGGCCACCCACTGACCCCGCGAGGGGCAGGGGACGGGCGGGGACGCACTTCTCGCTGTTGGCCAGCCGCCGGTACTCGCCCACGGTCATCGCCTTCTTCTGGATGTTGTACTGCGTGAAGAGCCCCGACTGGCCGGTCACCACCTGCTGGATGGGGGCCGGGATGACCACGTCGTCGATGTCATCGTACGTCTGCCGGGGCTTCCACTCCTTTGGGGGGATGATCTGCAGGACAGGGGGCGTTGGAGGGGGCTCCGGCACGGGGAGGGGGGTCACTGTGTGCCCAGACCCAGGCGAGGGACACAGGACCGCCGGGTGCCCGTCCCTCGGAGCCCGTGTCAGGGCCCGCAGGAGCACTGCCAGGAGCCCCCGGGCCCCACCAGGACAGGAGGGGCAGGGGACAGCGGCGCAGGAGGCAGGCCTGGCCAAGGCCGCAGCGAGGGCGCTGACTTCACCTGGACCAGAGGCGGCCGTGGGCACCGGCCTGCTCACAGCGGCACACCGCTGCCTGCGCCCAGCCAGTGAGTGGCAGAGCAGGGCCCCGGTGCGGAGCTGAGGACAGCAGGCCCCGGCACCGCGGGGAGGGGGACAGGACGCTGCGTGGCATGGCAGTGGCCTGTGACAGCCCAGGTGCAGCGCCAGGACACGTGGAGAGCGCGGCGGGAGGTGGAGGATGGCACAGCCACCCCCAATCCTTCCGGGCCACTCGAGGCCCAAGCACACCCTGCCACAGGCCACCCCTGGGGGCGCTCAGGCCTGGTCCTGGGCGGGGACACCTGCAGGCACGGGGGAGACGGGGCCAGACGCCTGGCCCAGCCCAAGCTCAGTGGCCCAAGTCTGTGCTGGGCACGGAGGGTGGGAGGCGGTGGAGACCCCGAGTGCGTGGCCAGCTCCGGGCGCAGCTGGAGCCGCTTCCTGCTCCCACGCCTGCCACACAGCAGAGCCTGCGTTTCCCTGGCAACCGAGCTGATGACAGAGGGCTGAGTGTGGCTTCACCCGCCCAAGCAGCCGGCCGCCACTGCAGGGCGCCTGGCCCAGCGAGCCCGGCTCCCAGGGCTGCCAGCGACATCCGGGGTCACTCAGGCCTGCACATGGGCGGAGCCTGACCTGCAGCAGGTGGAGGCCAGGGACACAGCTGGGCACCCATAGTGTGGGCGCTGTCACGGGTCCCGGGCGGCTGTTCTCAAGGACCTCTCCGCTAGCCCTCTTGCAAGCCTGGAGCCAGGGCCACAGGGGGTGCGGGCTTCCCAGCAGCCAGGAGGCTGAGGCAGGAAGACTGCAGCCTGGGCAGCCCCGGGAGACCTGCCAGCAGAAAGAGCGTGGCCCTGCCCATTCGCTGTCCCCTCGGCTCAGGCACTGCTGTCACAGCCACGGAAATGACCAGGCCTCTCCTGACTCACTCGGTGTCTGGTCAGCTCTAGAGCTGACGCCCGACAGAGGCCACAAGGGTTCCAGGGGTGCAGGACAAACACTGCACCCCAGAGAAGCCCGGGATCTGACGCCACACTCTGTCCCCTCTGCAGAGCTCGTGGATAGGGGTGGGGCATCCACAAGGCCAAAACAGACAGGCCACGTGCACAGCCACGGGGGGGGGGGGGGCATGGACGTGGCCAGGCTGCAGCGGCCGGACAGAGTCCCGGCAACACGGAGGACACCGGAAGCAGCTGACCCCACAGGACACATGTGCCACCGCCAAGTCCACGGCAGGAGCGCGTGCACAGGACACAGCAGTGTCCCACGGCATGTGCATGGCCAGAGGCACCACACTCGCTCTCTAGAGAGGCCAGCACCCGGGAGCCAGGGCCGCGCCTGCAGGAGCAGAGGTGCCTGGGGCCAGAGCAGATGGTCCCGCTGCCCACCTGTCCCGCCTGCCATGTGACGAGGCTTGCCACACGTGGGGGCCAGTGTCCCTCCACAGTGCCGGGGCTGCAGCTGGAGACCCTGCCCCGCCCTGCCTGGCTCCCCACATCCAAGGGAGACCCCAAGGGGAAGGCAGCTCCAGGGATGCCCCTGGGGAGGACAAGGAGAAGACACCCCGAAGAAGCCGGCCATCAGGAAGCAGGCTCCGCAGGGCACAAGGCTGGGCAGGGGCGCAGGGGACACCAAGGCCAAGGATGTGGGGGTCAGCAGGGACCACACAGCTGGGCCAGGAGGTGTGGCCTGGCCAGAATGAGACAGCTGCCAGGAGGTGATCGGACCAGGGAGGCCAGGACACTGGAAGGTGCCTCGGGAGGACGGGCAGCTGTAGGTGCGGGGTCACCATAGCGCTGTGGCGGGGGACAAAGGCCACAGACAGAGAAGACAAAGGCCCGGAGAGGGGACGGGGCAGGGGCGTGGCAACTCACGGCAGCCAGGGGGACGCCCTGGCCCAGGGCAGGCCTGACGGGCAGAGGCTGGCAGGTGGGGGAGGGGTGCGGTGGGCCAGGCCTGGGGTGCAGCCCCCAGGTGTGGGTGCTCTCCTCGCCTTTAAACAGTTATCTTGGAGCAAGGAATGGTGACCCACACCTGCCACTGCAGCATCCGGGAGTAAAGCTTTACTGGCACCCTGGGTGCATTTGTGCCCAATGCCAATGCACAGCCGCAGAGGGGACCTGCCAACTTGGGCAGAAATGGGGGACAGGCATCTAGGGGAAGGGGGGTCACACAGGGAGCAAACCGCTGAGCTTGTGCCTTGAGGCTGTGGGGCCTGTGGGACGCAGGCGCGGCTGCCCACATTCCCAGGCTCACACACGTGTGTGCACACACAGTCCCGGAAAAGCCCCACAGAGCCTCAGGCCTGCGGGGGTGGGACGGGACTCCCCAGGAGGGCTGCCCTGGGGGACGCAGCTCGGGGCCCTGGCTGGCCTGGCTCTGCCCCCACCCGCAGGCCCTGAGGACGCCCGGGTGCAGGCTGTGGGAGCCAGGAGCCAGGGAGCTGCGGGCGGGCGGAGCAGGGTGACACCCACCTTGGCCAGGCCTGCGCGGTGGGCTCCCTGCGATTCGATGTAGGCCACATACTTATTGAAGTCCTTAAATTCTTCCATAGTTGGGCGAAAAGTCATGATTTTGCAACTGGGGTTCTGGGCCCCGTGGTCCTCAGACCCCATGGCTGTGGCTGCCTGGACTCCACACCTGCGGAGGGAAGAGGGGTGAGCTCCGGGTGCTGCCCCCGCCAAGCACTGAAGACCAGGGCCGTGGACATGGGCGCCGGCCCGCAGCCAGGGCAAGTCGAGGGGACTGCGAGCCGGCCACACGCTGCACGCCGGGCAGGACGCCGCCGGCTAATTGAAAGCAGAGGCGTCCTACTTTTGAAAGCCAGGGCAATACAGGAAGCGGCACGCTCACTTCAAAGGCAGCCCCAGAAATCAGAGCTGTCACCATCAGGGACGCGTCCTTGCCTGGTGTGAGCTTCGAATCAGTCCACCCACAGCCCTGGCAGGGCCCTTGGAGTGAGAGGCTGGTATGAGAGGGTCGCGGGGCACTGAGTGCACACGCATCCCAGCACTCTGGGACGCTGAGGCAGGAAGACTGCAAGCTGGAGCCCGGCCTGGGCAGCCCACTCTGCCAGGCCCTCAGTGTAGCTCGGTGCGGAGCATGGATCCTTTCCGTGCAAAGGTCCCGGGGTGGGGAGGCAGTGCCCAGCAGTGCCCAGGCTCAGAGCAGGGCCTCGGACAGCAGGCACAGGGGAGGCCCAGCTGAAGGGCACAGTCCCTGCCATCAGAGACTGTGGTTCCCCGGCTATGCACACGCTTGTGTCACTGTCTCTGACCACCCAGGCCCCCTGGCGCGAGGCGGAGGTCTCATCAAGAAGCACAGGCTGGGGGCTCCTGGCCCTGGCAGTCTCGCCCGACCCAGGAGGGTTTGGGCCACTGTCTGGGGAAGGACCTGCCTTGGCCATGAAACGCTGCCAATGTGTGTGGGAAGGCCCCAGCACCGCCCAGAGGGGCTGAGGAGCGAGGAGCCCGGAGCACACAGACCTGGGAACACAGAGAAGCCGGCAACACACCCTGCCCTGCAGCCAGGGTGACCAGGGAGAGGCAGGGCCCCGCCTGGCCCGGGCACCCTCGCCAGCTGCAGCTCCCCGCGGCAGCACTAGAGGGCAGCATGCACCCAGGAATCCCATGCACGCGGCACAGGAAGCCCAGGTGCAGACACCCCACCCTAACCACCTGCCCTCTGTGCACACAGCACCCTTGGCCACTGGGGACGATGGCCAAGGCCCCACCCTGAGGGTCCCGCTGGCCAGCTCCGGTGAGCAGCTACCTGTGGGGACAGCTGTACCCACGTTACACTGCGACCCTGGCTCTGTGTGCTGAGACCTCGAGCTGCCAGAGACGCCGCGGTGCCAGGCCACACGTGCACTGGGGCCAGCAGTGCACCAGGGGGGCTGTCAGGATCGCACCTCCAGGAGCAGGCTCAGCTGCCCCCTCCCAGCAGCCCTCACGGGGACGCAGGTCTGCACCCTGACCCCCCACCCCTGCACCTCTGCAGCCTCCAGGCCGGTGAACCCGTCCCCACGGGCCTGCCCTGCCCCCCAACACAGGGCCTCCCCGCTGACACCACTTCTGGGAGATCTTGGGGAGCTGGGGCCTCGCGACAGGGACATCAGTGCCACCGCGAGCTACGCGGTCTAGCAACCGCACCTGGCAGATGGGGCCTGACCGTCCTAGGACACGGGGCACCTGCCCCGGTGACACCTCACACCCGACCACACCCTGGAGAAGGCTGGCGCCCGAGACCAGGACAGCAGGCACGGCTGGGCTTTGCCCTGGTTTATCTGAAGGGACTTCCCTGCCTCAACGTAAAAAAATAAAGGGCGCCCGGGGGAAAACCATACGTGTACAGGGTTTATACCGGAATCTGACTGCACCCAACCTCTGCTTCATCAAAATGGGGGACAGAGAGCTTTGTAAAGACTCCACCGGGAACCTGGGTGCCCCCCACAGAAAAGGGGGCCCCGAAGCAATGGGGAGCAAGACAGCCCAACACAGAGCCAGCCAAGATCTTCAACAGTGCTGCTCCACGGTGGACACGGACAGGCCATAAGGTGTGGACACTGCACCCAGGATCCCCGAGTCAGGGGACCCCACAGCAGGGCCACAGGAAGCTGGGTGCAGCAGGGCGCACCTGCCAACCCAGGAGCTCAGGAGGCTGAGGCAGGAGGATTGCCAGTCCAAGATCAGCCTGGACGATTTGCCAAACTCAGAAAGGGTGACAGTGACAGGTCTTGGCGAGGACCTGGAGGAGGAGGAGCCCCGGCCCTGCAGATGGGGTGCAGCGGGGTGCAGCGCTGTGAGCACGGCCAGTGCTGCTGCAAATGGCTCCGGCTGAATTCAATTCGTCCCAGAGAAAGGGCACCAGGCACACGGAAATGCGTCAGCACAGCTGGCGGCTCACCAAGGCCCGCCCCGGCCCCGCCCCAATGGACCCTCCAGATGTGACAGCTGCTCCTCTGGGAGAGGTGGGCAGTGCTTCTGGGCGGGCATGTGACCTCCTTCGGTGCCCACTGACACTCCCCTGCCAGGACCAGTGCTCTGACGCGGGCGCGGCGTCCTCCAGCTTTACTTTGGGGTTCTGGGGACGGTCTCGCCGGCAGCCTTGGATAGATGTGCACTATACGCTCCACCTCCAAGGCGGGAAGCAGGCCGGACTGCGCCCGGGCACCAGGATCCCCCCAAGCCAATTCCTAACCCTAACCCCACCCTGGGGAGCACAGGGACCTCCGGGCTGGGCACCAGGGCGAGGGCACTTCCAGAGGCTGAGGGGACCCGACAGGGGCACCGTCTCGAGTGGGAGGCCCAGGGTGGGCAGCTGGGCAGCGGGGGACGAGGTTGGGCAGGAAGCCCCAGGTCCAGGGCACTCGCGCAGCATGGCCTGGTAGAGGGGACTCGGACAACACTGGGAAGCGTCAGGGTCATCGAGGCCACGGGAGGGGCCAGGCAGGGCTGCTCGGAGTCACCAGGAGATGCTGGCACCAGGAGACCCGGCCTGCGTGACACAAGACACAGAACCTGCTTCCGTGGGAGGCGGGCAGGGGCTGGACTTACACTGGCCAGGACCTCCTGCCCTGCCCTTCCCAGCGGCCCCAGGCCGGGGCCCTATGCTTTCAGCCCACTCCAGCCCCTGCAGAGAAACCCCGAGGCCGGGGACAGGAAGGACAGGGCCCCCAGGAGTGGGGGTGGAGGAGGCACGCGGGTTCTCCCCGCCAGGCTTCCATCGGGGCTCCGACAGCAAGATGGCCTCCCTCACACCACAAGCCGAGCACAGGCCGGAGAACAGGAGGGCGGACAAGAACAGCACACACAAACAGGCGTGGTGGCGCGGCCGCCACTCATCCCAGCACTCTGGGAGGCTGAGGCAGGAGGATCCCAAGTTCAACCTCAGCCTGGGCAACTTGGGGCCTTAGTGGGACCCTGTCTCAAAATAAATAAAAAGGTCTGGGCTGGTGCTCAGCACGGAGGCCCTGGGTTTAATGCCTAGTATTGTAAAAAATCAACAAAACAAAACCCTGTGGAGGCCGAATGGTGTCCTTCAGGGAAGCGCCATCCTAAGCGTGGACACCGAGCCACGTGCCTCGCAGTGGAGAGTGCATGCCCAGCGTGCACAGCCGGGGCTCCCTCCCCACAGCCCCAAGGCGGACACAGACCAAAGCCACACTGCACACTGCGGTGCCCAGCATCCCCGAGAGAGGGGGCCAGGGTCACAGGAGCCCGGAGGACGGGAACAGAGGCTGCAGCAACGCAGGGCCACCAGCCAGGGCACGTGGCTTCCAGGAGATGATCACACCAGACACGGATCCTCCCCAAGTGGACCTGACAGCGCCCTGCCGGACCCCCAGAGCCAGCAAGGCGGGGCCACGGGGAGGGCCCAGGGTGGCAGAGGCTCCCGGGACACTGGCGTCCCTGCTGCTGGGAGTCCAGGGCGAGGACCCGGGCACCTGCTGTGGCCTGAGGCCGAGACTCAGTCAGAGCCCAGGGCGCCGGCAGGGCAGTGGCGGGCACTCGGGGCTGCTGCTCCTGCCTGCTTCTCTTGGTTTTATCTTTGCAGGCAGGGGTGAAGCGCACCCTAACTGCACCCTCTGGGCCCCTCCCCTCCGGCCTAAGCACAGCCATCTCTGCAATCTAACCACCACCGAGGGGCCTGTGACTCACCTCGGAGCTTGACTGATTTGGAAAACTGTAAAAGGACAGGGCTTTCCCAGGGGTCCCCACACTGTGAGAACAGCACCCAGGGCCCGCAGTCCCTGCCCCACCGGGGCGTCTCCCCCACCCAGGACGTGGCAGAGGTGACCCCTCAGGCCAGCCTGGGAGGGCACCCGCTCCCGGGGTCCCGGTCACTGCCCACCAGGGACGGCTCCAGGCTGCTGTCCCAAGGTGGCTCCTCTCCTGGGCGTCTTCAGTGACATTCGGAGACAGTGTGGCCCCTGCACTGGCCCTGCCATTGCTGGGAACTGTCCTGTCCCGCACTCCCGCAGAACGCCCGCCCTCAGAACCCGGGACTGCGGGTTCTGTGCCCCTAAAGCGAGGCCTGGGCCAAGTCCCCAGGAGCAGGACAGGAAGGGGCAGCAGGACCTCAAGAGCCACCAGCAAGTGAGCCCTGAGTGACAGCCGGGACAGCCCTCCGGGCCAGCGCCTGGCCTCTGCCCATCAGAGCTGCAGCCAGGGCGGGGACCCCGGAGGCTCCCAGGCTCTGAGGGTGCAAGTGCCCCAAAGCTCAACAGAGTCCCCACAGGGAGGCCTCCACACAAGCACCAGTGTGTCCCCAGGACACTGATGACACAGCAGTGGGCGGTGCCGTCCTGGGGCCCACCAACTTCGACGTGCCCATCCCTGGGATCCCCGGGCACCCGGTGTCTCTCCCAGCTCACCTGCCCCAGGTCCCTGTCCCGGGAGGCCTGGCTGCCAGTGACAACCTGTGTTTGTCACAGTCCCTGCTGCCCAAAGACTCCACGCCTCCGTCTCAGTGCGCTGCCCACAGAGCACCCAGTAACCCTTCCCGGCCCCCAGGCCCAGCCCCTGCAGAGGGGGCAGAGAAGCCCCAGGAGCCTGGCTTCAGATGGAGCCGGCAGGGTGCGGCCTAGAAGTGGGAAAGGCCGGGGACGCAGCCCACCCTGCTCCCCCCTGAGCACCCGGGCCTGCGGTCTGACCTGGACGCTTGCCCAGGGACCCCCAGGCCCGACACACTTGGCCGCCAGTGCCACCTTGGACCCAGCCAGCCCCACAATGGCCCCTTGTCCCCACACAGTGACAGGTGGAACCCGGGAGGCAGGGGCGCCAGTCCACTTGGTGACCCGCCCTAGCATCTGTGCCACCGGGGAATGGGCCTGGCTGGGCAGCCCTGTCCGGCTGTCACAGCCACACTGGCGGGCGCTGCAGAGAAGTAACTGCCGGTGCCCCCATCCCTCCAGCACCCACCATGGTGGAGCCCGCGGCTGCCAGCTGACGGGCGGGGTCAGTCCCCCAACACCATCCACACCGGCACCCCCACCTGACTGCCGAGACTGGGACTGCACTGGGGCCGCCCGATCTACAGCAGCCGCACCTGCTGGGCCAAGCCGGGGCTCCCACGGGCAGCCTCAGGGCCCCCAGGGAAGGGGGGCTGAAGGCCCTCACCAACTCCAGTAAGAGCTGCGTGGCCCAGAAGACCACGGGGACAGCACGGCTCTCAGACGCCAGGCGGGGCTCAGGCGGAGGCCTGTAGGCCCCTCTCCTCTGCTTAGAGAGCAGTGAGCCTGTGGGGTAGTGTGTCCCCCAGGGATCCCCCCATGCACCCAGGCTCCCAGCCTCGCCTACACCCGGTCCACTGCAGGGCCCTCAAGCCACTGGAAGAAGCCACTGGCAGCTGGGCATGATGCACAATCCCCAACCCAGGAGGCTGAGGCAGGAGGACTGCCGGGGTCAAGGCCAGCCTGGGCTACACAGCAAGACTCTCTCAAAACAAGGCTGTGGGACAGGAGCACACAGCTATCTTCCCGGCATGCAGAGGTCCCAGGTAGAAGGGTCACCCTGAGTTCGAGGCCAGCCCAGACTCTGTAGTGAGCCCATCTCAAAAAGAAACAAAAAACCAAATAAAACGAAAGGACGCCCTTGTCAGGAGAGCGCAGGAGACGGTGTCCAATCCCCCAGAGTCGTCTCTGCCCTGGGTCCCTCTACCCAGCATTGCTGTGCTCAGGGCCCAGGGAGCCTGCAGGCAGGGGCACCTGCTGGCAGCCTGACGGTGACCAACGGGTGGGCACAGCCACAGAGCGCAGGTCCTGGGGAGCAGGGAGGCCCGGGCCTCCCTGCAGGAGGAAGAGACGGCCACCGCTGAGCAATCCCGTGAGTGCGCGGCAGCCAGAGGACAGGACAGGAGAAGCCACCCCTGGCTCGGGTGCAACCTGAAAGGACCTGCCTGGCTCACAGCCGGGGGTGATGCTGCAGGTCTGAAAGAGGGTGCAGGTGCCTTTCCAAGCTCAGAGGCGACCCCCAGGCTGCTGGGGGCAGCAAAGGACTAAACTCGGCCCCGGGGACTCAGATACAGCATGTGCACAGGAGGCTGTGTGGAAACACTCACGGCCACCCAGTCCCCTCCCCTCACAGAGGGCGGAGGGACCCACAACCCCCAACCTGGCCCAGGTAGACAGGGGCACAGCAGCCAACATGGGCGGGCCAGCCATGCACAGAGGAGGGGACACAGCCGTGACACCCGCCACGGCACAAAAGGGCCTGGAGGACACCGTGCTCAGTGAGACACAGACAGAAGACGCACGGTGGGGGCTCCTTGGGCAGGAAGCGCCCAGCACAGGTCACTCCAGAGACAGGAGGTGGCCTTGGGGGCCGGGGCTGGGAGGGGACGGGTGACCGCTCACACGGGGGTGGGGCTTCCCACTGGGGCGATGGCACCATCCAGAAGCAGATGGAGATGACGGCAGGTACGGGTCAGGGCCCGAGCCCCTGAGCAACGCGCTCCGGAGGGCGGGCGCCACCCATGCCAGGAACCCACCCAGCACCCCCGCTGACCCAGGACACTGTCCCCGGGATGCCGAGTCCCGTCAAGGCGCCAGTGCCCTGCCTGTCCCCACTCCCAGGTCCATCCCAGACATCGCTGGCCAGCTCGCTTTCCTCGAATTACAGGCTGGGAGCGGCAAGGGGAAGCCGGGCAGTGACACCCATTGCTCAGGGACAGGGACCGCTAGAGTTAATCACACAGGCAGGACACGTGGGCCCCGCACTGGCTGCTTTTCCTTCTGTCTGTGCCGGGGAGGGAGGCGCTCACGGGCTCACACACAGGTGTCAGGCTCCTGTGTCCCCAGCGCAGCCCCCAGGAACCCACTGCCCGGCTCCCCTGAAGGCTCCAGGGAGACAACTGCCAGGGGGCACGGTCAGCAGGGCCCAGCGGCCCAGGGGCAGAGGCTTCTGCAGGCCGAGCCAGGTCACAAGGGCCCCGCCATGGTGGGGAAGTCACAGAGAGCACATGGAAATGAGAGGGCGTGGCCGTGTGCCAATAAAGCTTTATTGACAAAAATGGCTGCTGCAGCCACTGCCTGGAGCTGGTCCCTTTTCTTTTCCCCTTCAAGGGGACTCGGAGCTCCCGTGCCACGCTGAGCCACCCGGGTCACCAAGGCCCCAAGTCGTGACCACTCCATGACCATGCCATGCAGTGCTGGGGGGGCCTATGCTGGGGGCCACAGTGCCCGGCCCATGTGACTCCTCAGGCCCCCAGATGCCACCCACACTGTGCAGCCATGGACCCTGGGAGGACAGGACCACAGGACCCCGTCCAGCATGGAGCGGGGCCACAAGTCCCAGCCCAACCTGTGCAATTGAGGGAGACCCTTGCTCAAAAGCCTGGGGATGTCGCTCGGTGGTACAGTGGACCTGGATTCAGCCCCTGGGGCTCAACACAATCATCGTCATCATGACTGCACAGGCACTGTTCCTACATTAGCCCAGCTTAAAGACCACACCGCAGCAGGTGTGGTAGTGCACACCCGGGACCCCACGTCCTAGAGGCTGAGGCAGGAGGATGCCAGGTTTGACCCCACCTGGGCAACTCAGTGATTTAGCAAAAATTACAAAATTACAAAAGCCTCAAAATACAAAATAATAAAAGCACTGGGGACATAGCTCAGGGAAGGCCCTCAGCTCCATCCCTAGCCCTGGAGAAAAATAAAAATAACTTTAAAAACTGACATGGTGGGGCTGGGGATTTAGCTCAGTGGCATAAGTACCTGCCTTGCAAGCAGGCGGTCGTGAGTTTGATCCCCAGTACCAATAAAAAGGAAAAAGACCAAAAAAAAAACAACAAAAAAAGAAAGCGCATGGTTATGTGTTCGATCCCTGGTACCAATTAAAAAAAAAAAAAGTGGTCAACAAAACTGACATGGTATGCTGAAAATCTTCATGTGTCAATTTTTCTATTTTATCTTTTTTTTTTTTTTTGGCTTTTTTCGTTTTTACCGGTACCAGGGATCGAACTCACAACTGCCTGCTTTCAAGGCAGGCGCTTATGCCGCTGAGCTAAATCCCCAGCCCCCTCTATTTTATCTTTTTGAGACAGGGTCTCTGTGCAGTTCAGGCTGGCCTTGTGCTCACTTTGTAACCCAGGCTGGTCTTGAACTCACAGCGATTCTCCTGCCTCAGCCTCCCAAGCGCTGGGATGACAGGTGTAATCCCATGCCCAGCCACATCATTTTTCTTTAAAAAAAAAATACCCTGCAATCTGGAGGACGGGTGTCCCAGGAGCCCAAGGCTCATGATACACATGTGCGTGTCAGTGTGTCTTAACACCCACGGTGCCACCCGAGGTCTCGGGGTGCAGAGGGACCCCGGCTGCCATGGGAGAGACAGGCATCCGGGACGGGACGGGAAGGGCCAGCACGTCACTCACCTCGCAGCTCCAGTGGCAGAGGCTGCTGCTGCCCTGCTCCCGCGGTGGCGGCTCCTAGGAGGGGCAAAGCCATGGTTAGATGCTGGCGAGGTCCGGTGCCCTCAGGGGCAGCCCCACAGAGGACACCGCCCAGCCCGCGAGCCTTCTCTTCCCTTCTGCTCTTTTGTTTTCGGGACAGGGTCTCCCTACATTGCCTCGGACGCGGACCCTCCTGCCTCATCCTCCCGGGTGCTGGGAGCAGAGGCCTGACCCTGCGGCCGGATGCGTGGCGGGTTTGAAATGACGCGGTGTATCAGCACGCAGGCTGAGGCCTTCACTGCGCCCTGCCCCAGTCTTTTATTGCTTTATTTTGTAACTCTGAGGCAGGGTCTTGCCTTAGAGCAGGCAGTATCTTCTGCTGTTTTGTATCTTTATTTTTTTTTTTTCTGTTTTATCGGTTCCGGGGATCGAACTCACGACCACACACTTGCAAGGCAGGTGCTTATGCCGCGAGCTAAGTCCCCAGCCCCTGCTGTTTCCTATCTTAATCCGAGTTTTTCAAAATTGCTGCGCAGGGCCCAGCCCTTGATTTCACCCTCTTTTAAAAGGCACCAGGACCCCAGCTGGAGGCAGACTGGAATAAAAGCACAGCCTGCGTCCCCTGTTCCGGGCTGGGGTGACTGCCCAGCGCCCCACAGAGGGCTCCTTGTACCCTCCGGCTGCGCACTGCAAAGCCCTCGTGCCCTGCGGCCAGGCGACCACCAGACACAGCCCGTGGTGCCCTGAAATCCCTTGAGGTAGGTAAACATTAAGCAGCAGCGAGTCCCCCCACCCCCACTCGTCCAACCCAGGACCTGTGGCCCCGCCCTCCTCCCTGCGGCCCCGCCCCTTCCCTGCGGTCCCGCCCTCCTCCCCGCGGCCCCGCCCCTTCCCTGCGGCCCCGCCCTCCTCCCTGCAGGGAGCTGCAGACCAGATCCCTGCACCAGTCCCAGCTACTAAGGAGGCTGAGGCAGGAAGATCAAACATTTAAGGCCAGCTTGGGCAGCTCGGTGAGACGCTGATCCAAAATAAAAAGTAAAACGGCTAGAAATGTTGCTCAGCATAAAGAGCCTGGATTCCACCCTCGGCACCAAAAAATAAAGTTTGGGTAACTCGGGGCCCAGTGACTCCCAGGTCCCCCTGCGCGGGTTAAGGGGAGGCTGAGCGAGGCTGAGCCCCTGCGCTGCCCACTCTGAGCTGGAGGAAGGGGCTGCGGGAGCATCCGCCTGTGCTGCTTCTGGTGCCCTCTCCTCGGCCACTCCCCCCAGCAGCACGGGGCCTGCGAGAAAAGCAGCCAGGAGCTGAGGTCTCAGCGGCATGGACGCCGTCTACCCCACCCAGAGGGCACCATGACCCCCTGCACAAGGCGAGAGCGCCTGGGAGAGGGCACCAGGCAGCCCCTCTGCAGGGGCTGTGCATGTGCAGAACGCAGGGATGCCGTCACCTCATGGGGGAAAACCTGACCAACACCACTCCAGCCAGGGACCACCCTGGTCACAGGGAGAGCACCTGCCCTGCACAGGGCATGACGACCGCCCTATCCTCCTCCCCATACCTCACCTCGGTGAACCCCAATCGGGGGACAGCCCACAGTCCACTTGGACTGTGGTCCAGGGTAGACCTGAACAGGTTTGAGCTGGGTGTAGTGGTATAGCCCTGTCATCCCAGCACTGGGGAGGCTGAGGCAGAACTGTCATGAGTTCAAGGCCAGCCTGGGCTACATAGCAAGACCCTGTCTCCAAAAAATAAAGTAAATAAATAAAAGCAAAACAGAAAAAAAAAATCAACCTGTCAAGGTTAGCTGGGCATACAGGCCCACACCTGTCATCCCAGCACTGGAGAGGCTGAGGCAGGAGGACCCCAGGTCGGCAACTGTGTCTCTAAATAAATAAAACTTTAAAAAGTGATGGGGGAGGCTGGGGATTTAGCTCAGCGGCATATGCACCTGCCTTGCGCAGGCAGTCGTGAGTTCGATCCTTGGTACCGATAAAAAGAGAAAAGACAAAAAAAAAAAAAAAAAAAAAAGTGATGGCGATGCAGCTCAGTGAAAGCACCCAGTTCCATCCCCGGGATACAGCAGGTGAAAACCAAAACCATGCAGGTCACCACAAGCACAGTGAGCCTGACAGAGTCACGGCCCAGAGGACGCTGCGGGGCGGTGACAGCTGTGTCCCCGGCGCGCAGCATGGGGCTGGGACAGAGGAGGATGTGAGAGTGAAGTGTGGATCTGGTGAGTCAACACCGCGTCGCGGCAGAGGCTCCAGGGAAGATGAGCAGCGCCCGGAAGTGGGCGGCGGTGTAGACGCGGCTGGACAGTGTCTCCCAGCATCTGAGACCACGGCTCAGAGAGGGGTACAGCGATCGGAAAAGCGTCATCCTGTGCTCTGCTGGCCCGCTGACCAGGAATCTGGGGCACCACGGAGGAGCCGCGGAGCCAGGGTCACCCCGCCAGGGCCTGCCGGGGACAAGCCAGGCCCCGAGAGATGCAGCCTCGCCCTCCACAGATGCCAGGCTCCTGCCCACACCCGCTCGCCCTGCCCCTCTGCACGGGGACAGCGGGTGGCCTGGGACTGGCAAGGGGCCGGCCCTGCCACTGCACAGAGGTTCAGGGACTCCTGCTCATGGGTGGCATCAGGGGAGCCCGGGCCCTCACCCCATCCTGAGGGAGCAGAGGTGCTCCTGGCCTGGGGCTGCCAGGACTGACCCTGGGGCGGCTGCCCACGGCCCACCCTGGGGCTGGGGAGGCTGGTTGCAGGACAGGGTCACCAGGAAAGGTCCCCACTGCAGGGTCACTACCAGAACTCACCTTCAGAAGCCACCCATTCCCTGACCCCACCCAAACCCTGGCCCTCGGGAGCAAGGGTCCCTCCCACAGGGGACGCCATGTGCCTCGTGCATTGGGAAGACCACTCACAGCCCAGGAAGGTCTGAGACCCAACACGGTGTCACCCTTCGGGCAAGAGCACAGCATCTCCAAGGCTGCCAAAGTCCACATGCCTCAGCACGGCCTCACGGTGCTGGTGACAGGTCCTGGAGCGTGACGCCTACAGCGTCACTGACTCCGGATCAGGGGTCTACGTGCCACCTCCACCACCAGACGCCAGGTCCCGGGGCAGTTGGTCACCTCAGGGGTGGGGCGGGGACACACACAGGAGTCCAGGCAGTGGGGTCAGGGGACAGCAGGGCATGCAGGAGGGACACGGAAGAAAGCCCCAGAGCGAGCCAGAGGCAGTGACACAGCCCTGCCACCCGGCATCAGGAGGTGCCAGCCTAAGGGCCCACAAGTCCAAGCCCAGCCTGGGGGGAGCAGCTTGGAGAGGCCTTGGCCCAGGACAGAAAGGGCTGGGCGGGCTCAGCGACCAGGGAAGCGGAGACAACGGGAACAGCCAGGGACGGGGAAGCCGCGCTTGGCCTGCGTGTGGCCGAGGGTCAGAATCCAGGACCCGGGAGAAGCCTCGCGGCTTGGCGCTCAAGGGAAACGCAGGCGGGGCTGACGGCCAGTCCTGACAGGCGAGCGGCCAAGGAGCACAGGAAAGGAGGCCAACATCACAGCGAGGGCACAAAGGAGCAGAAACCAGGCCACACACGCCGACGGGGGGGCCTCGGGGTCAGCTGGGAGAGGAGAGTGTCCTGGATGGAGGACAAGCAGTGACCAGAGGGGGGTCGCGCAGACGACGGAGCCCGGAGGGGGGGGCAGGCCTGCCTGATGGCTCTGCCTCCTGTCCTGCCCTCGCCCAGGTCCTGGCTCCAGCAGGAGGTGGCCAGCTGCTCCACCCTGACACCATCAGCGGAGGGCAAAGCAAACGGCACAAGACGTGGAGTGGGCAGAGATCGCCCTGCCAGGGGACGCGCTGCGAGGCCGGGTGGGGGGACTTGTGTCCCACAGCAAAGCACGGAGCAGGCCTGGGCCGCGGGCTTCAGGGAGGAGGTGTCAAGGCACAGCTGGGCCAGTCTCTGGGAACAGCAGGACACACGGACAGGAGCGGCCTGCATGGACAGAGACAGGCTGGCCCTCCAGACACCTCGCAGCCACCCTGCCGCGCTGGGCTTCACGCTGAGAACACGCTCTGCCCGCCTGCCCTCCCACACGCGCTGCCCTCCTGGATGAAATCTGCTTCCAGACCTGCAGCTGCGGGGCGCACAGTCACAGGGTCACAGTGACCCGGCTGCCTCCAGGGACAGCTAGGCAGCCCCACCCGCACAGAGGAGCCTGCAGCGGGACGGAGATGGGGCTGCGGGCAGGGGCTGGACGGACGGCGACGCCAGGGCACTGGTGTGGGGACGGCGAGGACCCGAGTGTCCACGACCCCGAGAAAGGCTCTGAGAGAATCCACAACTCAGATCTCAGCCTTGACGACACGTCCACCCAGGGCCCGTCCACCCAGGGCCTGTCCACCCAGGACACGGCCACCCAGGACACGGCCACCCAGGGCCCGTCCACCCAGGACACGGCCACCCAGGACACGGCCACCCAGGGCCCGTCCACCCAGGACACGGCCACCCAGGACACGGCCACCCAGGGCCCGTCCACCCAGGACACGGCCACCCACCCAGGGCATGGACACCCACCACAGGGCCACGCCGGGCCCAGCAGCCATGTCCTGGGGACACACACAAGACGTGCGCATGCGCTGCAGCCCGTGGGAAATCCACGAGGCCACGGCAGTCAGGAGGTGCCCATGAGGGGTGCTGGGTCCCGGGAGGAGCAAGGGACTCGGGGGGACAGGCATCGGCAGGAGGAGGAGGGACGTCCGGAACGGGACCCAGCACCTTCAGGGCACCGCAGAGCCTGGGGCAGTGGGAAGGGGCAGGTCCCCACCTCCCCCGCTCCCTAACAAACCTGGGGGTCTGGGGCAGGAGGCTGCCAAGCTCCAGGAAGAAGCCAGGACACCTCTGCCTCAGTGGCCCAGGATTCCCGTGCGTGCGGGCGGGCTCTGCAAGGAGGTTTTGGGCGATCAGTCGGGGCAGGGCCCCATGTGATCCCAGGGCCTGCAGCCCAGGACCCGGCTCTCCACACCTCACCCAGCCAGGGCTCA